AGCTGGAAAATGCATAATGAAATTGAAGAGCTAAACAGAGGGTCTAAGGAACTAAATTAGCCTTTATTGACTCTAAGGGAATTTGTCTTACACATCAAGAGCTCATAAACATCTAATATATATGACAATAATACAATACAACAACAGTACAATACCGTGATACAAAACACCATTGAACAACACTGCTCAGTCAGAACTCTTCCAGTACCATAGGATTAAATAACAGACAATTAGCATGTAAAGAGTAAAAAAAACAACATCAATAATAAGATCTCTATGTGCAAACAATCTTTTCATTGTTCAGCGATTGAATGCTTTTTAGGTATAAAGGAAGTAAATGCTCTCTTAGTCTTTATACAGAAGATCTTTCCTGAGGGTAAGATCAGGAAAGATACCTCTTTCCTGAGGGTAAGAGATTAGATTCTAAAAATTGTGGATGAGAGGGGTCATTTATGATTTTATGTGCCAGATTAATAATATTTGTTAAGTTAGACATGTTATTGAGTCCAGGGATGCGCTGGTATTCTTGTCAGAAGTCCTGATCACTTTGTTCAACTTGTTTTTGTTCTGCAAGGACAGGGCACCTCCCCAGCTCTGAATGCAAAAGGTCAAATACTCTGAATATAGCTCTCGTAAAAAAACTGGCAACATTGTGAAAGACGAACATGTACTGCATGCAGCTTTGTGCCTTGAACCAATCAGAAGCTCAGAGCTGTGCTACAGAGAACATACTGTAGAACTCTTTATGGCAGTGACAACCGATTAGCTGAGCCTGCTTTATGAAGGAACCCCATGAGCACAGGATGGCAGCATCTGAAAACATTAAAAAACAAATTACATTACTCTGGACTGGAATTTGTATGCTTTGTATCATTGGTATGCCCAAAATCAATTTATATTTTAGTTTTTTTAACTTTTATTATGAGTACAAAGCTTAGGTATTCTGGTTAATAAAATAATAAGTCTTCTATATACCTTTGGATTCATCTTCATATATTTTATTTATAAAAATAAATGATAAGTTTATCAATGCAGCCTTGTCGTAAGCTCTAGAAGACTGTGTAGAATCGTCATGTTAAAATCTAACACTATTTGTTTGACTTACTGCATATGCATTATGCAACATGTATGAGTTTATTTGTTGCTAGGTTTTTTATAGTATAGTTTTCAGGATGTTTTAGTTCCTGTTCAGAGTGTTTGTAATAAATATTTTCATTCCTCATGTACAAACAGAAACCAAAGCCGTTCGACATATGAACATTTCTTAGAAAAATACAAGAATATGGCAACAACTGCCATATAAAACTATAAGTAATTATTATAATTATTAAAAAAAAAATATATACAATAAAAAGGAGGTAGAATGCAACCCTTTTCCCTGTGTACACATTACTTTAATTTGCCAGTTAGAAATAACCAAACACATCGGTAGAAAATATTAACAGTCTAATGTCATTTCAAGAATACTTCATTGTGCCTGAGTCCCACTGACTCATCTTAGTCTTGCCATATTTTATGTCTTCTCCAATGTGAGCAGCAGACACATTACACTGCATATGCTAAGTCACTGTATGCTGACTGTGTCAGACTGTGACGTCAAACAACAAGAATTCAATAATGCTGGTGAGCAGAGCTGAAATTTATTACATCACAACATATATCTGTGACGCCTTGTTAGATGTTAGAAAACAAATATTTTCCTAAATATTTAGACAATGAGGAAAAATCCAAATAATTTTCTGAAATTCTGTAAAATACTCTACAGTGCGTCATTTTCTATTACATAGTTTTACGTATTCAAATGTACTCACCGTGTTTGTTAAATAATTGGGAAACTTATTTTGATGAAAGAGACATCTGCAGGACAAAGCATAAATAAACAGAATTAAGCATGTCCAATTATTTGATGTTTTCCTTTGGTTAAGCAAAACAGGAAAGCAGAAAAAACATCTGTTTTTAATGAGCACTAAACAAAAAAGACAAATGATAGCTCTTCCGCTCTCTGAATGGGGCTGTACAAAGCTGATCTTATAAACTAGAAGAAAATCTTAGAAGTCCTGGTGGGGTCATATATTTTCCCTAATCTAAACATGAGTCAAAGTTTGCCGTTCAGTTTCTTTTACTCATGATCTTAATTGAGCCTTAGTTTAGTAATTAAAATATACAGAAAAACTTCATCAACGTGTGGTCTGAGAGTTTTGAGAAGCTGATTGTGTGTAAGGAACCCACGTACACTATCCCCCAAAACATTCTTACTTCACAAATATGATTATGATCAACCCTTAATGGAATCAATGAATCAAAGCTTGAATCCAGTATTTTACACAATATTCATGGTATTCCTACACCAGGAGTTCTCAGGCTTCAGTGACCTGTTTCAACACCATCTGACCCCAGAGACTTCTGCTGAAGCTAATTTATCACAGAGTGAAAAATCGATTTTATCCAGTACTTCTGTCATTTCTCAGGTGTGCTGAGAAAGCCTCCTGGTTTGATTGAATCTGACAGTGTGTGTTTTGATGGTATTTAATCTTTCAGCATTTGCACTGGCCATTGTACAGTAGGTGGTCCTGTGGGCTGTCCCAACAAATGTCTTGTGGGCCAGAGATCATGGAAAAAACTCTTACTATGTAGTTTAAACCCACAGAAAAAGCTGTCCATATTTAAATTCTAAATAGCTTGGGCCCACATGACTTCTCTGGCACAGTGCAGCTATGGATACAGATTTTAGGGTAATATCTTCATGGACTCTCAGTTTGCTCTTTTTTACCTCTTAAAACAGAAACAGCTCTACAGCTCAGACCCTGCTCATGATGGCCCTGTTGTTGAGGGTATCACGGACAGCACGTGCTCTGTTTTGTTAGGATTATTCTGATTTTGATGAAGACCAGTCCTGGAATTCTATATGAAACATAAGGTATGCATACAGTACATCTACTGATATTATAGGAACTAAGGTTGTTCAGTATAAATAATGTTTTGTATATTCACAATCTGTTCGCAAAGATCTGATACATTGTAACTGAATGTAAAAACCACATAAACACAGGCTACCAAATGTTTGCAATAAGAGGGTTACTCCAAGCACTAATTAGCCTCATTAACTCTTATTAAGAAGAGTGCTTTACAATTTAGCTGTGAATGCCACCTTAACAGGGGATATAGTTTTTCTATACACTCTCAAATGGGTAGTTGGTCATTTATAGTATGGAGACCCAGAACACTATGTTAATAAGTTTGTTTCTTATTAATGTAATAGCTTACATTGCATTTAATATTTTATATGAATGCAGTAATTTTAACCTTGAATTTCCTCATAAAACAAAAATGAAAAGCACAGCTCAGTTCAAAACCACTGTAATCTCATTACTGGGGGATAATTTTAGAGAATATTAGAGGTTAATCTGTAGAGCACTAAAACAAACAGTACAAGTAAATGATCTGGCAAAATTATATAGCTCTGAGTCCAACAAATACCCATGAATAGTTTTACCTTTCTTTCCATCTAGTTGATATATGTTAACATCAGTGCTCATTATATAATTATCTATACGATATAATGTAAGCATGCTTAATTTAATGTGTGGTACTTTGCATACAACTGTATTATGTACTTAAAAGTTTCATTGTAGCTAATCCATTACATTTAGAAAACAAATTAAGCTGATTCATTCTCAAGTTCTCTTTATCATTTTTTTTCTCTTGACAGATCCATAAAGCTAAAATGCTGCCTTTTGTACTATATAATACAGATCTATCAGGATCAAGTAGAACAACGGAAAATGTCAACCATCAAACAGCAGTGTATTCCATAGTTATTCTGTATGCAAATGTGTTGTTGTTTCTGTGTGGATCTTAAGATATTTTGTACTGGCCATGTTAAGAATCATCTTTATAATTCAGATTCCCAGAACAAAGTGATCTAATTAATCGATGTCATGACGGCATCAGAGAGTGAGAATTCAGCTGGAGGTTTGTCCTGAGCTAATACCTTCGGTATAACAGCAGTGCACAGGCCTTTGCAATGTGAAAGGCAGGACTGAAAGACAAGTTTTGCAACACCCCTGTCGATGTCACTGCTATTACGCAATCCCTTATGACACATACCTCCTCTCCTCACATACTGTAGCTGTGCTGCAGTACAAAAGGTCCACTTGTTGCTACCTCTCCTCTTGCTAACAGCTCAATACAAAATCAGAACCAGCATCACATCAGTAGAAGACTATTGCAATGATCTGGACAGCGCTTATCATTATACAAGTTCTCCTCGCTCTCTTCTTAATTGTTACAAATCGATCTAGGTGAGTAATGACCTCATACTTAGAAATCAAATCTGCAAAAAACTGTTACAACTTCTTCTTTGTTCTATACAAAAGTCTGTTTTGCAAATGGTTACTACCTGAGATTTCAAGTTTCTCATTCTGAACCTAATTAGCAACTGATGACTTTTTTTGAAGTTCAGATAACCCTAAATGTTATGTCTCTTTTGCAATATATGACAATGTGCGTGTGTTTCTAGTGGTGGTCAAAATTTGGAGCTGTATGCTAGTGATCATTTTATAAATGTAGACTCCTAATACTGTAATGTTACTTCAGATACAACATGCACATCTGAAGTTCCAAGAATAAATCTGCAGCAAAATCCTTTTACACATGTGTTTGAGACACTGAGAGAGGGCAGTACAAGCAATAGGGGTAAAATTAGAAGGTGCAAGTGTAAGGCAGAAATGTCAATTCATTTCTCACAATGATGGAACACCCACATGGAAAGAAACCCATGCGTGAAAGACTTGTTTTTCAAGCTTAAAAGCTCAAAATTCAGGTTCACGCAACTAGACAGAACCTGAATTCCTTAGATCAGAGGGAAGAATGACAGGTTGTGAAATTGATGCCCTGGACTCTCCAGTCCTCAGGGTAGTAGCCCTCCAGGTTACAGGCTGACCTTCACCCCATAGAAGTGTTATGGGACGAGCTTGACTAGATTGAAAAAGAAGACCGTGGCCACATGTGCTCTGGGGCTTGATCAGGACCAGAAGAAGAAAAACAGAAAGTAGATGTGTCACACTCAATGAAATCCTTACAGAAGCCTGAAGCATTTGTAGCAGTATTTTCTAATAGGGAAATTTTATTCCTTTACATTTAGAATCACCAATTCTGTTTAGAACAGCCGGCTGCATAGTTGAAAATAATCAGTCTTAACAATAAGGTGGGAAGGAGGGTCCAGAGAAAGCAGCTCAAGCTTAGACTTCCAACACTGCCCCCACATCACTCTGAATGTCTTGCCATGTGCCTTTGTGGGGTGCAGGGGAACTCCAGCTGCAGGCTGACGGGTGCCTGAGGTCCCCAGGTGTTGCTGTTGCATGTGTAGCGGAGCTAGTTTGGGCACGGTGACGTCATCGCCCTCCCTGAGCGTAGCAGGGACCTCAGCCGCCTGGGCTGGGGGAGGTCTCCTTTAGCTCATTTGGCTGGTTCCCTGTTGCGTTACGCCGGAGACGCGTTTTCACGCCCCAGGTGTTGCGGGACAAACCAGCGGGGTGGAGTGGCGAAGGCACGAGCCCGCGCAGAACCGTGACGGTCACACATGGCGTGTTGGGAAACCCAGTATGGGTTTAGGTCACCCCACTCCAGTGGTGCTTGGCCACCTGTGGACCACTCTTGGAAATCTAGACTATAGGGATTTACCAGATCTCGAGATGAGTGCCTATACCGGTTGTAAGACTTTGGAGCTCCTCAAAATCTGCCGCAATTATGCTGTAAGGCGAATGGCTGATTCAGGGATAATAATAATAATAATTGCTTACACTTATATAGCGCTTTTCTGGACATTCCACTCAAAGCGCTTTACAGGTAATGGGGATCCCCT